CTCTGTTACCACCGCCACCTATGTGGCATCCACTTCTGTTGGCCGGCCGTGCTTATGTGGCTCGAGATCCCATTCACTGCACGCGCTTCCATTCACCCACACTGCCTTCCTATTTATATATTTAAAGCAGAATGTTTTCATTGGCTCCGCCTCTCCCCTAGGTCCCCATCCGTCACACTTGATCTTTAACCCAAACCTTTTTCGTTGGGACCGCCTTCCCACCTAGCCTCCAACACTGTCAACACCCTAGGTACCTACCAATAAATACCAACAGCAACAGCAACAGGTACCTGCGATGGTTTCAAAGTGCCTCCAGCCCGGCTGTGCCAGACCTCCCTCGCTGGAATGAAAATGCCTACTAGGTATTGTATTGACCACCTGCGCTCGACAATGTAAGTCTTTCATGTCCCAGTCCTGCATCGATGCATTCCAGGTTCCCCAGCCCCTTGCGGTCGCAACTCTTCCAAATTGCAAATCGTCGCGGCCGCAAGCGCAGAAGAGAGCAACTTAGGCACGGCGAAAGCCTTCAATGTTCCCTCCCAACTACCTCTACCTCTACAACACTTGCTAACTCCTCTCCCCAATCACAGCTCCGCCGAACGTCGTTACCTACCTCCTCAAGTTAATTCTCCGCCGCCGAGCGCTTCCCATGGAACAACAATGGGACAACCTGTCGACATCGTGGAGCCCCACCGATGGAGTTGACGAAGGAAATTGGGAAGCTTGGTCGCCCACTGGGATCAGAAATGGAAGACACGTACAGGCTCACACTGGTTTCACAGAGTTTACCTATGCTCCGCCTGGATAAGGTCTACGAGGAGCATGTGCAGCGAGCATGGCGACTTTGCTCGAACCAAGCACTTTGGTAATTTGAAGCGCACAACGTACGACATGTGGTGATGGAAGGACTGGACTGAGGAAGCTTGGGATCTTTTGAACCAGTGTTTTCAGGGTGGGTTGAAGGGCGGTGGAGTTCTTTCTGGGAGGAAGTTGGCCTGCATGAACAAAGCCTCGGGAGACACTGGTCTATATCTAATTCAGAACACTCCTTTCCACTTGCCATCTGTTAACGTTCCTCATTAAGTGATTCACTGATCGCAAACTTTCCAATTGTGAATGCGATGAAGGAGTGACGGACTTCCACGCCCGAGGTTCGGCCAACTTCTCCATCTCGACCGTTCGAGTGTCCTTGCTCGCTTATTTCGCACTGATGAAGTAGTGGATGGGTTTGTCCTTGACATGGTCGTCGATGAACCGGACAGAGCTGGGGTTGAGTTGGTGTTCTAAAGCGCTTCCTTTCTTTGGTGGGTGCAAATGCGATTTGGGCGATAGACTATAACTTCTCTCACAACAAGCCCGAGGGATGTGAAGTTGATATTTGGTAGCCTAGAGGTACCGAGAAAACAAATTCAAACAGAAAGTATCAAGATGCCAGTAAATCCTCTTGAATGAGTTCAACATGGCTGTCTACCTTGAAGTTACGTATACCGCTTGCTAGGTAGACGGAGAAACAGATCCAATACGTTCCAAGATCCCTTTGACGCCTTTACTTGTCTTGATGAGGCCTGTCAATTGGGACAATATCTTGTAGAACTATTCCACGCGGGTTGCGACCATGGTCAGAAGACAACTAGCGCGAACGTTTCGAGAACAGAAGAAGGACACGAGTGGGAGAATCTGCTATAATACCTCTAGTGACCCAAGAGAAGTCCTGTCACACAAGCACAGGGGCATGCTTCCACTGCCTGGCCGAGTTTTGGCCGAGTTGCTTCTGACATCGAGAGGTATACCTGCCCTAAAGGCAAATAATCTCGCCTTTCTATATCAACCACCGTCCTCTTCTCCTATACTGAAACATTTGCTCATCGCTATATGTATCTGAAGGCTACACCGAAATATCACTACCAGTGTCGCCCTTAACACTTAATGTGCTCCCCACAAAAAAATAATAAAAAGAATAGAAGAGTTGAAACGGACACACGGGAAGCCCCAGCCTGCTAGCCAGAACAGGAGCCGGAAATATGGCAGAAGAGTGTACACACAACCTCAAGACCATGACCAAAGCAAGAAGCAAAGCAAAAATACAAAATGAACATGGAAAAAATATAGAAAAAAAAGAATTGCCCGGTCTGGGATTCGAACCCAGGTTTTGCACCACATTGGTTTGTACTGCGGTTTGCCAGACCGCTCCCCCGTTCGAACGTGCGTCCTCGGGGTGCCTTGGCCCTCAGCACAAAGTTCTGAAGTGCACGCGTTAAACCACTACGCCAACCGGGCTGTTGTCTGTTGTTGGAAAAGGGACACAAAGACCTAATACATGTACCCCAAGGCAGAGGGAGGGGGACACTGGGGGTACCGGGTACGTACCTCTTCCTGATGGGCTGGCGAGACTCTGAGGACGGGACTCGGTTGTTGCCTGCTTCTGCTGGGCTCCTTCCGTGAGAGATTCCAAAGGGCCTTTTGCAAGCGGTTGGCTGCTGGGAAGGCTGGCTGGTGGATTTGGTAGGACCGCTGGTCATCCTACCAGCACACGGCACACGAGGCCCAGTATTAAAGCGAGTCGGGTTCTCTGACACCCCGCGTTCTGATCTTCTCTTGGTGTTCTTTTTCTTTTCCGTTGCCTCCATCTCCCTCTCTTCTACCATCACCCACCATCACCATCATCATCACCATCACCATCATTCAAAACCAACGCACCACAACAGCAAGAGAAGCAACAGCGCTCAACAGCAACTTTGGCTGTATCCGACAATGTACGTGCCATTTTTCTTTTGTCAAAGCCATCCTTGGACGTCCACTGTCACAGTGTCTTCACCCCTTTCCATCCTTCTCCGCGTCTCGAATTGCTTCGCGCTTCGACAGGCAACTGACCCCCTGATCTCAGTCAACCCTATCTGGGCTTCAGCCCACTTGTCGCTTTCCCTGCGCCGCCAGAGGCGTCTTCGGTGCTTCGGCCTCGCAGAAGCCGGCCAGCAAGGCCAAAAAGCCCGGCCCCTAACACTCCTCCCAGCCTGTTCCAGCCTGCGCCCAGTCATATCACTCTTTGTCACTTTGACAGAGTAGAGGTACGTTTACTCCCATTTCATTTTCTTCATGCTTTGCCGCTTGTAGTGGCTCTCTTCTCGTTCCTGTGCCAATGAAAGAGACTGACATTTTGTGTTTCTAGACAACGGTAAGGCCAAAGTTGCCTTGTGACAAGCTTCGCGCGCCACCGAGGCCGCTCGACCTCGATCGGCCCTTTTGCCGGTGCTCTCTGCAGAAATTTGGAAGAGAGAGAAGGGAGATTGGCTTGGAATACCTCTAGACAGACTTCTAGCTTCTGAACAAGAAAAGAAATTGAAGCAATCATGGCACAAGAGGAGAAGGACGACCGTCTCCGCCTCCGACATGGAATGGCCATGATGGATGTCTTCTCGAAGGACCTGCGTCGTCGGCATGCGATCAAGCATCTGATTGCAAAAATCATTGTAGGATGGTCCCGTTGATAGAAACCGCCCGCTCTCCTGGAAGTCGGTCAAGGCTTGACAAAGGTTACGAAGCATTCATCACGAGAGTGTAGTGGGAATTGTCATGGGAACGAGCCGAGGGGGGCTGCTTCAACGGTGCATGGTGCATGATGTATGGTGATGCTTGTACATAGAACACAACACCAGTTGCATGAACAGTCACGGGGAGTTCCAGATTGCTCAGCTGAAGGATGTCTGTGTCATAATGTGCCTTTGCAACTCCACGATCTCTACCTGTAAACATGATACCACACTGCATTCTCAACGAGACACTCCCCTCTGGGCTTCGAGATCTTCAACATACAACCGTCACCATGATCTCCCATCAATCTCTTCACAAATAGAGGTTGTTTCTTCGTTTACGGAACCATGACACTCAACCGTGGCGTTTCGATCAATGTGTCAATACTGGAATGTCGACGGAGGCAACATGGGCTTCGGGGAAACTTCCGTCGAGATGAATAGAAGGAAGCCTAGAGGTGGAAGCGTTGCCTTTGGAAAGGACATTGTCTACTAGAAAAGGCCAAGTAAATGTGACCGCTAGAGTCTCGGCCAACACCATTGCTTCATGGATTTTTTCCGCATCACCAAATTTTGCAGGTATGAGCCCCAGCCACCAAATAGCCCCAGGCATACCACACACTTGACAAGTGAAACATGCCTCTATCTACATCTTATGGCAGCAGATACCATGGAGCGTAATTCAGCAGCAGAGTGTACAATACCTCTACACTGCACCTCTGAGCAAGCCCCAATGCTCAGAACACAAATTGCTGAACTTCTTGCTGCCCTGTCGGAGGCAGACATAAACCAAGTCTCAACGGAAGGCGCGTCTCACAGCGAAACCAGTGGACTTTCAGCGGGACACTCAACGGGCGTGTACCCCTTTCCCGTTCCCATCATCATTGGCACCACAATCACGGGCAACCAAGAACAGCGAATGAAGCACATATCCACTCGCCACGCCAAGGCCAGATAGATGCCGACTTCTAAGGAAAAAGCAAGACAGCACCAAAAAATGATCGTAAGATTGGAACTCGGGATCTTTTGCTGTTCCCTGGCTTGTTGCTTCCCCAAGGGTACCTCTAGACTCGGTCTCAACCTGCACCCCTAGGACCAAGGGAGGCGAGAAGAAAACCTAAGCTAGAGGTAGTCGGGACCGAAGAAGACTGGGAGGTAAACGAAGGAGAAAGAAAAGATGGAAGGAGGGGTGGGAAGAAGGAGCGGTATGAGGGGAGAAAGGATCGAGGGGTATGAGGACGGGAGGGTTAGATGGAAGGAGGGATGGAGGGGTAGAGGGGAAGGAGACGAGGTACGTAGAGATAGAGGTACATTTCACTTTGACTGGTCACCTGGTGGGCTGGTGGCGGTTGCCTGGTTGGTGCGAGTGTTTGTTGAGGCTCTGTCTACGGCTTGCCAGCTGCTCCAGCATGTATTCCACAGGCTAGGAGTGTCCAGTGGCTCCCATCGGTGGCCTGCAGATCTTTGAAGGTCATGGGTACTATTGAGCCACAAAATTACCCTGGTGTGTTGACGGTCCAGCCCTTGCTCATGACCACCAGACTCTCCCGTTCGTTTCACTCAGACAGAAGTGATTCCTTATTGGAATCTACCCCGCTCATCTTCTCGTTCCCATCAGTTACGAGACCGGAGGTCAGTAGGTAAAACTTCTGCCACTCACCTCTACTTCTCGTCCCTCTTCCCCTCCTCCTCATCTTCCCTCTTCCTTTTTCTCTCATGTCCACCATCATGAGTTAAACCAGACTCACCTTCATCGCCACTCTCACAACGGTTGGTATGGTATTCAGTTTCCTAGGTACCTTGCTTCATGCCCCAACAACAAGAACAACGCGCCACCATTCACTCACCGAAGTCATACACGATTCCGTCACCCTGCCTTCCCTGATACCTCAAGACTTCGACTCAGAAGCCGCTCAGAACTGAGATTTCTCATTACAGTCTGGCTTCCTCGGTCACCGCGACTCCTCGTGAGCAGCCCGATGCGGGTGCCGACGTCCGGGGAATGATGCTTCCGCTCGCGCGGACGCGGCTGGCGAAGAAGCTGACTCACTACATCCGCTCCATTGCCCCCGCCTACGGGATCCCCGTTGTCCGTAAGTTGCATGGCACTACCGCTTCAATCAGCTCGCATTCAGGATACCTACCTACTAACATGGCCCTAGTCTACACCGTCCATGGCGCCAAGAAGCTCCTCCCTTGGCCCGATGGCATACCGAGGGAGGGGCTTCAACCTCGTCAGCTACACCAACGATGCTGATGCCGAAATGCCATTCGGCCACTGGCGCCATGGACGGTACCACCAGCAGCTACGGCCACCCTGCCACTCCTGCGGCGAGGTTGGATACACTGGCAACAGTGGCTGCTAACAGCCAGGCGCTGCCCCTGGGATGTCAAGCCTGCCATCTTGGACTTGGACCAAGTGAACAACAGACCCTTGCAAGATCGGACTAACGGCTGTAACGCTGGTGCCGAGAATGCCATCGCCAACATGGACGGCCAGGAGTAAGTTCACACTCTCTGAAGACTGAAGCTGAGCGGACGCTGACACTCTGAATTAGGGAAGAGAAGTTCTTCAAGGCCAACGACGTGCCATGGCTCCAAAGGGAACTCAACATCCAAACCGCCTTCTCCGACTCCGGGGTGTCGAACTCCAAACCCAAAGCTTCGCCGGCCACCTAACCGCAACGAGTCCAGTCCCCGCGGACGAGATCTCGCTGCAGTTGCCTCGGCCATATCCCCGGCGGCTTGTAGATAAGTTTGGCCATCGGCTAGTCATCCACAGAGCCTACCCCTCGGCGCTTATGGGGTACTCAAAGGCGGCGAGATGCGCCAGTCAGAACCCTCATCCCCCTCAATCATCTTGCTTCACCAGCCTGTGGGTTCGCCCAGAACATTTTGCAAACCACATCCTGCGAGGACAATGACACTGCCCTGACCAGGTCATTGACAAGAAGAAGACACCGCCAGTGGCACCACCAAGGCCTTCGGAAGGATCAATTTTGCTTGGCCCAAGAAGAACGTCCCTATTAGCGACGACAAAAAGCCCGGATGATGCTCGCAACGCCATGCTGCGGGTCCGTTGTCGAGGACACTCAGGAGATTGTGGAGATGGAAAGGACAAGAAGCCAGTCTTCTTCATTTTCCACGATCACTCCGGCTTCTTCAAGGAGGAAGTCCTTTCGCCGCCCTCTTGGGACAACTGTGCTGCTTCCGCTCCCCTGGAGATCTCTTTCCCTGATGACGACTCTTTCGCCATGAAAGCAATCTTTTACGCTCTCGCTTTCCCCGGCCAGTTCATGAGCACACCCAACAGCGCTCTCGTCGGCCGCCTGACCATAATGCTTATTCAAATACCCCCATCCGTTACTCCGGATCTATGGAAGGCAGGCTCGGCAGACTCTTCAGTGTGTTGGTAGCTTCGTCAATGCGCAGCCAACCTGTGGTGGTGCTTACATGGTGGAGGGTTCAAAAGTGAGGAGTTGGTTGATTGGAGAAAAAGGAAGACAAAGACAAAAACCCAGAAACACGGCGGCAGTTTAAATACCCCGCCAGTACCCAGGCCACCAGTGCACCTTCCAAACGCCACCACATTGCGCGCCTGGGGTAGGAGTTGCCGCTCCAACAACTATGGCAGTAAGTTCCTTTCACTGGTTCACACCTCTACGTGCTTGTCGCGCAGCTGCTAACACCCAAAACAGACTCTTACCCAGGCCAGCAAGGTAACTTCCGCCACCAGAGGAAGACCTCAACATATCACTCTTCTTCTGGTGGCGGTGCGGCATCAACATGAAACACACAGCCTCACACTACTTCTACAGGTCCTACATCACTGCGGAGCCCAGACCTCAACTATGCCTCGCCCTCACAAGAGACCTTGCCCCCACAAAATGCTCTACGAAGCCGCGCATGCCTGGCAGACAACCTGCTATGTCGGCAACTTGACTCCTTACACCACTCAGAATGACCTCGTTCCCGCAGAACCCGTTGAGGACACCGCGACCCTCAAACCCAGTCACCTACCGGCTACGGCTCCCAGATGGCTTACATTTGGAGACCTTCGGCCCTGACCCGAGCCCCAAAGAAGCTGGAATTGCCGACTCGGGCGATGGACGAAACAGCTTCCTGTTGCTAGGGGTTTGGGACACCGCCGTCATGCTTCCGCAACGGCTTGCTGGCGGCTCTGCGCAGCCGCAAGCTCAACTCCCAGACCATCGGTGGACGGGTGTTGTGGTCACCGCTAGCCACAGCCCCGCCATTGGCAATGGTGCCAAGATCGTCGAGAGACCTCAGGGGCGAGATGCTCGAGGAGGAGGGCAGGCGAGGAGGGTGGAAGTAGGGGGCTCGAGAGTGAAGGAATGCGGAATTAGGGAATAAGAGTGCTGTTTTGTGGGTTGTGCGAAGAGCATGTGGGTTGGTCTTGTATGCAGAGCTGTTGCCTTCTTCTTCTTCTTCACCACCTCAGTCCACAAGTTCATACCTACCCAGGTAGAGGTAGTCTCACCACCATTCTGCCACTGTTCCCGCATCGTGCCAATGTTGATCACGTTCACTTCGACAAGTATTGTGTTTCCGAGTCTAGCTCAGGGACATCACCTTATAACTTTGAGAGAGCTCGCCGACATGTCATCCATGTGAGCTCACGCGTCATAGTTCTACGCCCTTATACTGTGTAGAGGTAACTTCGGTGAGGACAAGAAGAGGAAAGCTAGAGCTTGTAGGGTTGCCCAGCAGTAGGTGGACCCTCCACTCTGTCCGATGGCTACCATAGCTCATGAAATTCATCTTCAAGCAGCAGCAGTCTCTCAACTGGCAGTTAATAGGATTCGACTTGATTTCAACATCAGGTTCTTTTTCGATATCGCCACCTACCTTTACCTAGGTAGGTAGGTATCCCACCACCAGTCTATCACGCAGCTACCTAATGTCTCATCTCTCGCTTGCCTAGGTATTCTTCACCCGGCCATGGACTTCGCAAGTCGCAGCGGGTGTGGACCTCAACTCGGAAGCCTTACTCGCTGGCTAGGTACGACTGGAACAAAAAATTCCTACTAGAGACTCGCGGACCACATGAACTACCTCTAACAACCACGTAGGAGGGGGTTACTTCGATCCCGCAGAATCCATCATGTTAATTTTGAATGTAGAGGTAGCTAAGAGGTTTGTGTGTGTTGGAACATCAAGGACGTGAATATCTCTATAGAGATGTCAATCACTAGAGGTAAGTGATCCGGTGGAGCATTGGAATTGGAGATACTTCGGTTCCAATCAGATGAGCAATGAGAATACCTACCTCTACCAACGACGGGTCAAGATGTTGAATACCTACCTACCTCTAGCACAAGCAAAGACGTTTCCAGTTTTAGCCTTACAAAGTTCATCGATAGAGGTAGAGAACGTGCTGAAAGCAAGCTGAATCGATTCACTGAGGCAAATGCAGCAACACGTAATCCAATCGACTGCATGGGATAATGACTTGAATCAGGCGAACTGGGAATATACTGCTCGTGATGATCTTGGGAGATTTGGAACCGGCAGACATACCTCTAGAGGTAAGTAAGTGTTAGTAAATCTCGTTTGAAGCAGCGGGAAGCTGTAGAAAAGAGAGATATATCCCATCCCAAGAAATACCCTGCCTGCTATTTCCGCACTGGTTCAAGGACTCGTCGTCATCAAGCACAACCACCATCCGAAACACGACCACAGGCCCCCCCGCCTCCAAAAAGAACAATACCTAGGTACCACCTTCAACACCAGCTTCACCAAAAACTCAAAAAGAAAAAGAAATGCGTGGTCCGGGATTCGAACCCGGGTTCTTACACTGTCGTGCCACTTTTGTCTGTGATTTTGGTGCGCCACTACCCTCCCCAGTTCGAACTTTGCGTGCTCGGGTTGGCATTGAACTCACACCCTTCGCACAAGTGGTGTTTTCGGTGTGTACGCGTTGACCACTACGCCAACCGCGCTTCTGTTTATTTATTGGTATGGGGTACGAAGACCTAATACATAAAGCACGAGGGAAAGGGCTGGTCTGGGTGCTTGGGGGCGGGAGGTACGTACTTGGTCTTTTTGTTTCGTGCTCCGGCTTGTTGCCTTTGTTGCGCGGCTAGACCAGACGAATGAACTCGACTCGACAGCAGCCTGGGATTGAACCTTCCCGTGAACCCAGCTGAGAGGTAGGTAGCTACCTACCCTTCCAGAATTTCACATCATCGTGTTTTTTTTCTGTTGTTCTTCGAGTTCAAAACTCCATCACCACCAGACGGCAATTCACCGTGCAGTTCACCATCCAGCACCATCGCAACCACCCAGGACTGGACCACACGCCCACCGCCACATACACGACCCTCCAAAGCCACCCACACCTCCGCCAAACGAATCGACAATGTCAACAACGATCCTCTTCCCCGCCCGCCGAAACTGACTGCCCCCCCTGCGCCGCTACAGCAAATTTCGCACTCGCACATTCCCACTCTGCCGCCCGTCCGTCAAGGTGGCCTTGCGTTGTGTGCCCGGTGACGACCTAGGTTTGCAAGACCCCTACGACCTTTTGTCTACCTACCTAGTGTGCCGTCCACGCGCAGGCGCTTAGGTAGTGATCATCATTTCAATGCATACGGAGATCCGCGAAGTAAGGTACATAGAGGTACTGGGCGAGACATGGAAATCGACGCTGTCTGTCTTGCTGCATTGGAGGAGCCTCGCGGGATGGAAGCTACCTACCTAGGGCTGGCTGTAAACATGCAAGGGAAGGGATGTCAAAACACCGGGACAAGTCAGTTGACAAGATGTCTCAAAGCTAGGTAGGTAGGTACCTCTACCGAACTTTTAAAGGATCTCTATCACCGTGTAGGTAGGAGTCAGTACCCTAACAGGTCTCAAAGCTGCTGAGGTAGGTAAGGTGAGTAGAAGTAGGTAGGGGTAAGTAAGGCTTCTGGTGCGTCAAGTACAAACATGCCCGTGAAGCCGGCGACCTAGAGGTAGGTAGGTATAGTCTCGTTTCTCACATCCATTATTCCTGTTTCGGTCTCTTCCCTTTGCTGTACACTCTCTGCGTTATCTCCCTTGGATCCAACATGAAAGGGAAATTCCAGTCGACCTTGCGCCTAGATCATATCAAGTGTGCCTCTACATAGTAGAAGAGGGAGGTACCCTACCCTACCCGAACATCCATCCTTGAACCATCCTTTCACCTTCGCTAATCCTTCCTCCCACGAGAAACTACACAAGTACACACACTTCACACAGATCACACCTTAATCACAACCACGCATCCATGTATTATCCACTAGAGGTAGGTAATGTTTCGCCTATTTCTCTCGCGCCCCGATTTGAATCCACACCCCTTGCACATCTGGACAACGATACCTAACAAGGGAAGAAGAGGAATCCCTCAGCCTAGGTACTTTAGGTATTGATGGAGATCTACCGACCGCCTTCCCTTTTCGGTCGTGCCTTGGAGGCGGGGGGAAGGGATACGATCAGTAACGAGAGTAAGGTTCCTCGGTAGGAGCTACCCCTCCGCGGATCGTCAGGACGGGGTAGTGTAGGTAGTACCCTAGGTAGGTAGGTACATACATAGGTACCTACACCTCAGTTTGCATGCATGCATGCATGGGTGTAAAAAGGTTCGGTTAATTCGGTTGGATCTTTTCAGTGTTAGGATTGACTGGTGAAGCTACTAACCTTGGGTATTGAACTGCCTGTAGCTGTGGTACAGGAAATATGGATTCCTGTGGGCTGGCTGATGCTTGTTTTTTTTGTATGGTCGTCGTGTCAAGGGAAGTGGAAGGTTAGTAAGCTTTTGTCGATATAGACGTGTACACTTGTGAGGTTATAGCATACCTCTATAGAGCGTGGGTAGGTATATCGAGGTATCAACCGTACGTCAAGCGCAACAGAAAGACAAATGAACAGACAGCCCGAGAGTGAGAGGTAGAGGTAGGGGAGCGTAGGTGCACGTTCCATCCATTATATCTATGTCTGTTCAGACTTACCTACTTATCAAAGAGTTCACATTCTGTGCAGAGGTAGGTACCTAGATGTGCCTAGTCTAAGCGACAACAATTGAGGTTCGCTTCTAGACCCGGCGTTCACCGACGACGACGACATAACAAAATAGGAGGAGAACATGGTACATGGATTGCCCAGGCAAGGAGCAGGAGACCGGAATGAGCACGACGGGTAAGTAACGGGGGGTTTTAAGTCTAAAGTCTAGAGGTAAAAAAAGTGAGACCACCACCACCACCACCACGACCACCACCACACTCAATAAGCGGGGGTGGCTTGAGACCAGGAACCAGACCCGGACGGACGACATGGGAAATGGGTCAGGGTATGCTACCTTACCTAGCAAGTAGGTCTGCCGGCATGTTCCATGCCTTGCGTATGAGAATGAAAAATGTCAAAGATTTGATGTCTGAAGTGAGACAGTGCCTGGCAGCGACTTGAATAGAGAAAAGAGTGGGGGTGTTAATGGTGAGGCGGTTGCACACCTACCTAGCTTTCCATGTCTTATTCAACACCGACCCATTCAATTCGCAGCTGACAGTACGAACCTAAGCCATGTGGCACTGGGCTGGGCACATAGTCAGTAGGTTAGTAGGTAAGGTAGGTAGGTAAGTACCTCTAGGTAGGTAGGTAGGTAGGTATCCCCGGATTCATCCTCTTCTTCCCCGGATGGCCGTCAGTGCGGGCACTCCACCTCGTAGCAGTGGACATCAATGAGCACGCCATATTGTCAAGTCAACGGCGATGCGGTGGACGAGCAAGTGAGTGTTGAGGTAGGTAGATACAGTACGTAGAATTAGGTCAATACCTATGTACACACCTACGGTAAAAGCATGCCGGACACCGGCCCCGGACAACGTCCCGGCTGTTTCCGATAGTTTGATTCTGATCGGTCCAATCACCTCCAAGGCGGGACATAGAACTAGAGAATGGATGGACAAGGACAAGTTCATGGTCACCAACCGCGGGCGCGGAGGGATGTGTCACTTGCATACGACGACCGACCGACCACGGTAGCTCGGCTCGTGGGTGTGTAAGGCGAGGTAGCTTTCGGTTACATGTCATGGACAGGCAATCAAATCGTCAATCCTGGACTGCAGGTTTGGGTCGCATGAAGATGATATGATATGATTGATCCTCCAGGTATGAAAGGGGGGGAAGGGGGGGGAGATCAGTTGGAGGGATCGGCAGCAGGGATGGATTCTTTGGGAATACGTGAGTGGATGAGTGTGTGTGTGTGTGTGTGAGCTGGGATGGGATGGGGGGGATGGGGGGGGGGAGGGGACGTAGCCAGCTCTACCAGATAGGCAGGTGGAAGGTGTTGTGTCTGTAGTGTACACAGTACAGCTGTGTAAGGGTACTAGGTAAGGTAGGAAAAGTAAGGCGTGGTGATGGAGATGAGAGGGTTTTTTTGATTAGACATGTGATGAGGCAAATTCACTGATTCTGATATTCGCGCAGACAAGCACTTGTTTCTCCTCGGACGATGAGACACTGAGACGCTTTGGCGCCATCATACGATGAGTACGCCAAGGCTGTTGTCCATTGGAAATCAGTGTACGTCGGAAACACTGGAACGGGCATGCGTCGGGGAGTTGTGAGGGACAGGACGAATCGGTTTGCAGACACGATATGCGGGGGAAAAAAAGGGTTGGAACGATATCCGACCGTTAAAGTTGGTGATGTTTGACTTTGATGCACATGCTCGGCTAACGAACGAACGGTGTACATTCAATGTAGGTGACTGGACGCAATGCAACTCGTACACAGTGAAGAGTGGGAAAACCGGTAGACTGCCGGCATTTGAGAGAAGTACCAAGCTTGACGCCAGCCAGCCATCGGTCTCTGCACGGTGCTGAAGGCACAGCTCTCAGATCCGTAATGGTGACCATCAGTCAGTTTCTTTTTGATCCATTGATGTCGAAATGCAAGCCCGTATGGATGTGAAGCTGTCAACATGAAAATGGAGGGTTACCCTGTGGACTGGACGTGTTTCATCGCATCGTGGATGTCAAATTAGGCAAGGTATTCAACCTCTTCAACCTCCTCCCAAACCACGAGAGTCCCCGCCAAGCCGGATACCTCATTTTGATTAAGTGGTTCGAGGTAGCATCGGCAACTCTCTTCCCGCTTGCCAAGTTGACGATCAGCATTGCGCATATGTACCGCCTCTGGGTCGAGTCGAAGGTCGTGATGCGACTAATCTCTCAATTTAGAGTTTTGCAATTTAATTGCAGACGCGGATTTTAACAGGCGGGATCCAACGCTGGGAAGATTAAAGCTTTTTTGTGGACAATTTTGAGAAATGGAGATGACGAGACAAAGTGAAGAAGAAGAAGCAAAGGGAGAAAGACGTCGCGACTGTTGACAATGAATGACAAGCAAAAAGGTCCCCGTTATGGCTGCTACGGAGACACTGAACGCTGGTGTGGGTCGACGCTAAGGTGAAGCTACCATACTCTATCGGGTAATGCTCGACGTCTTTTGGTCGAGGGTTGCTGGACTAGCTGAAAGGTGAACACGCAGGCGGTGGAGAGAGACCGAGTCCATGGCGAAGTGGTCACGAACTTGTGAGGAGCTTCAAGTTGACAGCTTGGTCATAAATCGCGAGGCCTTTTCGGGAACGCCGTGGGACCCATTGGGAGCCGAGGGACGTTGATGGTTAGGTGGACTTTCCTGATACAGACGGACAGTGTCTCAAGGATCGGAGCCAGGATCATGGATCATCGATCAGGCGCTGGCGGGTTTGACGGACGGATGCCGGTGATGGTTTGGTTTGGTTTGGTTTGAAATGTCTCGAGTGAGTGAGGCCGGGCGTGTTGGAATGGGACGATGGAGGAGAAGATCAAGTGTCATGTCATTGGTCAATGTTGCACGGTTCCGGGCACTTTTATTCGGTGAGGCGTTGAGCCCCAAATCATCACTGGGACCGTCGGCGGCGTCGTGGTGGTCGTCGTCGACAGGGGTTGCACAGGCCTGGATGTGTCTCACTGATAGCAGTTCCGCTGCTGGATGAATGCCAAAAAACACCCAAAAGAAAAAAAGGATCTATCACGAGCCTCGGACGTCCCCCACTCTTTCATGGATGCCACTGGCGACGAGATGATGATGATACTGATGTGTGGAGGAAGTCACGATTTAGCTCGGATCGACTTCCGCTGTGGAATGGGGCGATTAGATGATGGCGGCGATGAAAATAGCAGATGAGGGGAGATTAAATGGTGGATGGATGGATGGATGGATGGATGTCCAAAGGTGAAGGTAGTGGGATAAATGACAATTCTGGGGATGATGATGGGAAATTCAGGGGTGTTGATGTGGATGGCAAGGGTACCTAAGACAGAGAGAGGGTTACAGTAGAGGTACAGGGGGGTAGACTGTTAAGGACAGTCTGAAAGGGATGCCAAGACCTCTTCAAACAGCCCTGAAAATCCGCCATTTGGTTGCCCAAAGCAGTCAGTGAGTGTTTATCCAAGGTAGAGGCGGGTCTAGGTACCTGTATGATCACGAAATTTGGGTGTCGTTGGAGTTGAGACCGGGAAGCAGATTATTCCCTTGAACAGCAACAACAACAACGACATCAACAACCACATCATCAACATGAACTCGACACATCCGGAATCATTCCGGTGCCGTCTCCCGCGCTGCTAGCTGTTCCCTTCTGGCCGGTTCATGTGCTTCTTCTTGAACAAGGTTCTTTGTGTCGATTATCAGATGTGTCACTGTGTGCTCTCGCTGTCGCCGGTCAACGAACCAGATGACAGGACCAGGTAAGGTAGCTGAGGACCCCTTGAACCCCTGCCCTGCCATCCATCCATCGACGACGACAATCTTGAGTTAGATGTGGTAGAATAGGTACCCAGCTGGCGGTACGGTACATGCCTACCCCGTACAGTTAGAGGCAGCACTGTAGAGGCGCTAATGCTGCAGTGGTCTGGATCCCGTATCTGAGTGAGGAAAGACTGTCCTCCGGGCATCCAGAGTGGAACATTTTGGTGGGCAATTGCACATCCATCCCCGATTCATCTCCATCTCCAGCTGCCCTCACTCCTCAGGAAGTGAAAAACATGGGCACATCCCGCTGACGTTATGCTTGACAATAGCAGGAGGAGTCGCCGAACGCAATATCCATCAATCCCATCATCTCCATCCAGTCGGGTATCCCATCATCTCCAGTCGGGCACAGCACACTTCCCCAGATTTACACTCAACCCATTTCGCCGAGTTGCCCACCCACCCCCCCTGTAGACATCCATATCCCTTGTCCACCTACTAGTTCCTGGCTGCTGCTCTTCACCTTCCATAAACTGACCGACACCCCAAAACTTAATGCGAGAGCAAGCGTATTAAAGACCAAGTCCCGTCCCGCGGTGCCTCCAACATAACATCCTCAGCATCATCATCATCATCATCAACAACAACACTACGCCCATAGCAAAAAAAGACAAACGACAAAAAGATACACCAACCAGTTACACAGCCAAGATGCCGCCTGCTAGCCGACGAACCAGCAGCACGGACGGGCCTCCGCAGCCGAGACAGCTGCCCGGGTCCGCCTGTGAGGAGTGCCGAAAACGCAAGTTGCGATGCGACCGGCAACGTCCCCAATGCGGAACTTGCGCCGATGCAGGAATCGTATGCGAAGTCAACCACAACCGCCTCGCCCGCGGGCCCAAGAAAGGCGATCTCAAGGCCCTGCGGAGCCGCATCGGTAGGTCACCTCACCCCGCCTTGTTCCAGCCCTCGTATTCGCGTCTTCTTCAGCTCGTTTATTGACATCATCTTTTTTTTTTTTCTTCTAAAGTTGCTCTTGAACGTCGTCTCAGTCTCGACCCAACCAACCTCGAAGGCCTATCTCTCCATGGCGACGCCGACCTTTTACAACATCCTCTTTCTGCCGCCAGCACTTGCACAACACCACCAGGACCTGCCTCCGATGGTGACCTCAGCCAAGTTGCCTCACCACGAGGGAGGGGTTCGATATGGGATGGCGACTACCACACCCACAATGGACAGCTTTCGCCCATGACACCACAGATTCCCTTGTCCATGCAAAACTTCAAGTTCCCTCCATCACCACCCACACCACCAAAGCGCGCCTTGATCCATGATCTCATGCGTGCTGACCTGTATGTCTCATCCTCCTCCCGTCATCTTTCAGCCACACCTTCTAACCTCTTACAGCGACCAACTCTATTTCGACCGCGTCCACCCCAACGTCCCCATCTTCAACCAGTCCCGCTACTTCGCTCTCTCCCAACAAACACCCCTCTCCACCCACCACCACAACAGCGCCCCCAACCCCCGCCTATGTCTCCAGTACGCCATGTGGACGCTGGCCATGGCCTTGTCCTCCCAGTTCGAATCCTACCGTGACACCCTCTACAACGAAACCAAGCAGATGCTCGAGTCGCTCGACATGTACGAGAACCACCACCCTCACGAAAGCCCCGTCTGCGTGGAGGAAATCCAAGCTTGGCTTTTGCTTGCCTTTTACGAGTTCTCCAGGACAAACTACAAGCGCGGGTGGGTGACGGCCGGCAGGGCGTTCAGACTGGTGCAGCTGGCAAGACTGCATGAAATTGATAGCCCCGAGAGGTCAATGTTGCAGCAGGGAGAGGATCCGGTGCTGGTGGAGGAGCGGAGAAGGACGTTTTGGGTGGCTTATTGCTTGGATCGGTTCATTAGCTTGAAGAATCAGTGGCCATTGACGTTGATGGAGGAGGTGGTAAGTCCACAAGTCCACCTGCAGATATAAGGAAAGAAACATTATGCTGACATGACATATGCACAGATCTGCACTCGCCTCCCCTCGCCTGAACTTTCCTTCCAAAGCGGCCAACCAATCCAAATGTGTTTCCTCTCCGAAGCCATTGCCTCTGGCGACCACGGCTTGTTTTCTCCCTTGGCCGAGAGCGTCGTGCTCGCCACTGTCTGTGGCCGCACCCTCTCCCACACGCAGGTTGCCAACGTCGAGCGCACGTACGGTAGCAACTCGGCCGACTTTTGGATCCGACACGAATGGCTGGCCGGCATGGTCAACAAGAGGCTGGATTCTCTTGTGCAGAGCTACCCGGTTGTGTCGGCGGCGGCGGATCCGATGCTCTTTTTTGCTTTTATGCTTGCTCACACGACAACCATCAACTTGTGCAAGGTGGTAGAGGCTGGTGATTGCCAGGGGACTGGACAGCAGCAGGCTTGGGATCCGGCCGTGTTTGAGTATCAGAAGCGGGCGCTGAGGGCTGCGAGGGAGATTGCCGCCTTGACCAAGGCTCATGAGCATCTTGGTTATTTCAAGGTATGTCTTCTTTTCCCAATTCCTTCCATTTCTAGCAAGTCACTAACAGGTTAAAAAGGCACACATCTTCCTCCCTCTCTCCATCTCTCTTGCCGCCTCTCGCCTAATATCCCAACGAACCCAAACCATCAACGACCTCGCCGCCCAAGTGCCCGAGGGCTTCATTCCCACCACGGAAACCGAATACGACGGCGAGATCCAATCATGCATGGACGCGCTACGAAAGATGCAGACGTTCAACAACCTGGCAAGGGAGCATTTACATACGCTGGAGCTTGTCCAGCAGCAGCAGCAACGTGCTCAACAACAACAGACTCTTTTGATGGGCCACGTACCAAGTCAGAGTCCTAGCCATTCCCTTAATGTTTCACATCAGCATATACCCCAAATTCAACTTTGTACTTATTAGTCTTATTATCTGTAACTAGCGAGGGTGGAGGAGAGAGAATCAAAGGATGGGATGATGAGAAGGAGGCCATGGAGGATAATACCCACGAAGCATACGTCTGCAGAGCAGAACAAGATACCCAACAACAATACAAGCATAATGTTTTAATCAAGCACAACTAGCGTACAATCTACATTAATCCCCTCAATGTGTTGATTTCCTCGGCAGGTACCCCTCTTTTCAACGGCTAAGCCCGAAAAGAGCTGCAGTCTGCAGCTGAATCGCAAGCCTAACCCTCTCCAAAAGGAGACAGGGATCGGCAAACGGCACCACCGCACTACAGCCTTGCTTAAGCAGACGAATCAAAACGTGTCGGCCACTCCGTTTCTCATGCGACCCCAACGGTTCATGCCGTCTTTCCGCCATTGATACCTCAGGTGGGTAGGGCATCTGACATGCATGACACGAACGGGTCGTGGAGATTGATGATGAGTTCTTGATGATAAACTCTACCGGTCTGGTCTCGGATGTCTTTCGGTCTTTAACCTGAAGTCACCTATCCAGGCAATATCCCCCTTTGTTATGGCAGCGATATCTATCTTGAAGTTGATTGAGAAGGCATTCTGTGACCATTGATGCGATCGGTTCACTGTGAACAATATCAAAGCGCAAAATCCAGCTTACAGTTCGCTTCATATTCACTCATTCGAACTCACACCGGACAGCAGCACTTTTCTGGTTATGTCCCAGCCGGTAGGTAAATACAAGTCAAAGAGCCTCGACTGAAACTGACACCGGATATCATACCCAGAATAATATGGTACACGTGCATGAAAAATATACCAGGATCTAGGTAGGTAGGTACTGTCTGCACAAACCTCGACTCCAAACAATTTCACGCTCTCAGCTGAAGCTACCACCTAGGCTTTAAAACAGAGGAACATTGATTGATGAAGATAAAACACAGATTATATAATCAGGATGGGCCTTGTCAATCTTGTTCCTCTCACTCCAGGTAGTCATTGATCAGCGCGGCCCGGTCACACACCTAGGTTCAGCTCCAGCTCTAGCTCCAGCTCGTCAGGTAATGCTTGCTGTATATACCTTATATCTCAGTACCTACTTTGTCACCCACAAGTTTGCCCACACAACAAGCTCTTCCGTAGGCCTACCTCTAGCTGCACGAAGAGAAGTTAGGTCCCTTTCTTTCAATCCTCAAGGTCAAAAGAAAGTGATAACAGGAATGCAAAGGGAACATGATCCGATCTGTGTAGTAGGTAGGTAGGTAGGTAGGTAGGTACCTAGGTAGTCTAGAGGTAGACAGGTAGACAGGTAGGTAGACAGGTACCTACTTTGATAGGCGTTGATTATTGATTACAAAAATTCAATCTGATCAGTCACGATTGTTCCATGTTTCATGTCATCACGATAAGCGAAGAATATCATTTTTTTTTTTTTTCAACCTTACCACCTACATACCAGCCTCTACTTACCTACCTGTCAACCTAGGTACCTATGAACCAACAGGGAGACTGGACCTAGGTACCTAGAGGTAGCGTAGGTACCCAAGGTAGGTAAGGTTGTAAGGTAGTACTGCAACTCCTCGGCTCTCGCTTCCAAAACTCGTCGTCGCTTGCGAGCTCGCTTCGACTGCTGTGCATATCCCACCTTACCTCTACGTACCTCTAAGCTACCATGTTTCGTTCCTGTCAATGTGTCGACAACATGGGTAGTAAGTTAGGTAGGTAGGTAGGTAACACTCCTCCAGTTCATCATCCATCAATCAATCAATCCCACCCGTCGATCAACTGCACAATGTGAATGGGGTAGGTACCTAGGTCTGGGGGATTTCCCACATGCAGTTGCAGTTGCAGTTGCATTCCTGGTACTTACAGTAAAAGGGGCCTCGGGTAGTGGAGCAACAGACAGTGTGGCTCCGTACTGTACACGACACGAGCCCCGGTCGTGAATGGTGATCGACGAGGCGCTAGTCTGGTTATGGTAGCCGAGGTGGTAGCGCTCGTGGTTGTGGCTACATGGGGGATAGGTACCTACATACCTGTGGACAGGGACAGCTTGACATGATAGCTAGAGGTAGACAGCTGGAGGTAGACAGTTGGATAGGCGAGCTACGAACGACTGACCCTGGGGAGGAATTGGGGAGGGTGAGAGCAGAGAGTAGAGCAGAGCAGAGCAGAGTACGTCTACCTCTAGAAGGCAGAAAACTCACCGGCGGCTGTACCGGCTCGCGCTGAAGTTACGTGTATAGTCCCTGTTTATAGTCGACCTACCTCTACTATGCAGAGTACAGAGCTGTGTTAGCAATAAGCCGGGAACCGGAGCTCTACATAGCTACCTACGGTACCTACCCAGCTACCTAGGTAGGTAGCCATTGAAGAGGAAAAGATGTAAAGGCATGTGATCACAGTGCTTTTTCGCCATCATCTCTCTCTCTCTCTCTCTCAAACAACCCCATCATTGTTCTTACCTCAGGTACCAAGGTGTGTGTACTGCGTACAGTGTGTTCACTTCAGCTCAGCTCCAGTGGGGCGGGATGGCACCTTGGCGATGATCGACGGTCGAGTGCGGAATGATGTCCTTTCCGTTGTGTCCCCGCAGCAGTGCACAGTGCCTGGCCAGGCCATCAAGGTTCTCACTCCAGTCTTCATCCGCAATGTTCCTCATCCATTCATTCATTCATTCTCCAGAGGCCAGAGATCACACGAGCAATACCTGAGGTGAAAACACACGAGACTTGCAAGGAAGGAAGCTCCAGCGATGCCGAGCTTCGTCATCAGAGGTACAACTCATCACTACGAGAACAGAAACCGCAAAGAAAGCAGGATTGTTGTCGAGAACATCTGAAATTCGCGCAGAACTAGCATAGCATAGCATGACTCCCAAAGTAAATGCAAACATTCCGTTGCAAAACGAAAACAGGTAAATTCACCAAATACAGAAACGCCAATACATATGCTGAGAGTTGTCGACTTGAACTCGGCCAGCGAGTCCCGTCCCCTTTCTCCACTATTCTGTCCCCAGTGGGGTATCATTCCCCCCCTAACCGCAGATCACTGCATCTCATCGATGAGACCGGCGGTGACATCTTTCCCCCCCCATGTCCTTTTCTGTCTGTCTGTCTGTCTTGCTTTCCATCTTTCTTCCCACCGCTTTCCCCCCAAGAACTCTGCTCTGCTCTGCTCTGCTCACACCATTGCCCCGACCGGGATTCCCGCCGATTTCGGAATCGCGACTGGAACAACTCCCCGCTCATCAATGTTTTCCGGTCATTCCCGATTCCTCTGCAGTGTTCCACCTCCGTCTCCATGTCCAAAGCTCACCGAGGTCACCGAGCTCACCGAGTTCACCGTTCACCGTCCAGTTTCTTCGCTTCTCTGTAGCAACCACCGTAAACACCATCACCGTAAACACCACTGTAAACACCGTAGACACCATCACCAACACCACCCATCACCACCATCACCATCACCAACGCCACAGCACAACTAACTTCCCCAGATACATACTACAAGTACCTCACTCCTTCAACGACGCATCAACAAACCCACTCTTCCCCACCACCACCCCCGCCAACCCCCTCAAACTCCCACACTGCATAATCTCAAAGATACTCATCTCGCTCCCCGCCTTCATACTCAGCATATTCCGCAACTCCACCGCCACCAGACTATCCACGCCAAACTCGGCCGGCGAACAATCCGGGTTGATTTCGCCCGCGTCCGCAATCATGAAGATATCCTGCAATTTCTTCGTGATTGCCTCCAGTGTATGTTCCACTGCTTCTTCGATGGTTTGAGACGAAGCCAGCAGACTGGATAAATCACCCGTGGCAGCTGCTGCGGTGATGGTAGAAGAAGAAGATTTGATAGCGCGGTGTTTAAGCTGTGCGAAACGGGCGTCGCGCGCTAGAGGCGAATCGGGAGTAGGTTGCGCGGACGGTCCGCAGTTGAGACCGAGGGTGAGGGTGCCTGCGAAGGGGGTGCTGATTGCCGAGCCAATGGCTGCTAGGACTTCGTCCTCTGCTAAGGCAGTGAAGCCGTGGCGCTTGAGCGAGTCAATGGTCTTTTCCGAGTCGGGGTGGTCGGCGAGGTAGCCGACGGATTTGACGACGGGCAAGTCGAGCGATACGCCGGGAAGACCGTTAGCGACGCGGTGGGTGGCCAGGCTGTCTTGGAAGGTGCCGCCTGCGGAGTAGTTGGATTGGGAAGCGAAGCCGACGATGCCGACGAGGGAGGAGAGCATGATGTAGAAGTCTAGACTCTCTTTTTCAGTAGATGAGAAATACTGGTGCAAGTTCCAGGAGCCGTTCAGTTTGGGCGCTAGAGCGGCCTTGTGATCTTCTAGTTTCATGTGTTCGAGGACGGAGTCGCGCAGTTCCATGCCGCCGTGGATGATGCCGCGGATGGGCGGCACGCCGCGCTCGACGCAGTCGAGGGCTTTGGTAAGGACAGCCATGTTGGAGATGTCGCAGCTGATGGCGGTGACTTTGACGCCCTTGGAGACATGGTTGAGTTCGGTCTGTAGCTGGGCGAGCTTGTCGGCTTTGGCGTTGCGGGAGACCACCACGAGGTTCTTGGCTCCGTGCTCGGCGAGCCAGGAGCAGATGGAGCGGCCGAGACCGCCGAAGCCGCCGACGACGAGGTAGGAGGCGTCGGAGCGGAGAGAGACGGTGTTGGAGGTGACACGGGGCAGGACCGGCACCAAGGTCTCCTCAGAGGCAGCCAACACAATCTTGCCCATGTGCTTGCCAGCCTGCATCAACCTGAAGGCCTTCTCAATCTCTCCGACGGGATAAACTGTGATAGGCTCAACCACCCGCAACTCTCCAGCCCCAACCAAGTGGATAATGTCCTTCATGATCCGGTTTGTCTCCATCTTCTTGTAGTCTCCCAGTGTGATCACATCAATGCTCGTGTATGATACCGCCCGCGTGAACGCCTCCATCGCCAGACTGCTGTTCTGCTCCAGATCGCGCTTGCCAATCTCCACGAAGCGGCCAAAGGGAGCCAGGCAGTTGAAGGATTCCTGCAGAAGAGTGCCAGCCAGCGAGTTAAGCACCACATCCACGCCCCGGCCCTTAGTCATGGCCATGACGCCTGCAGCAAAGGAAATGTCGCGCGAGGAAAAGATGTGATCAGCTCCGATACCGTAGTGCTTCATGACGAACTCGCGCTTCTCGTCCGTGCCAACAGTCACAAACACCTCGGCGCCCACGCGCTGCGCCATCATCACCGCCGCTTGACCGACACCACCCGTGGCAGCGTGGATGAGGACGGACTCGCCCTTTTGCAGACGAGCAGTGTCATACAAGGAAACGTAAGCAGCGACGTATTGCGTCGGCAAGCTAGCGGCCGTTTCAAACGTCATCGTATCGGGGATCTTGACGGCGCTGGTCCAGTGGATGCGCGTCCTGCTAGCGTAGTGACCTCTCAGCAAAACGGAGACACGGTCGCCGACTGTGTAACCTTCAGCAGCAGCGGTGGGACCGACGCGTGTGATGACGCCGGCGCAGTCGTAGCCCATGGTGTTGGACTTGAGCTGGCCCATGGCGACCATAACGTCGCGGAAGTTGACGCCGAAGGCGCGCGGCTCGACTTCAACAAAGTCCTCGGGAAGAGGGTCGGACGCAGTCGGGTCGTCGACGAACTTGAGTGTGTCAAGCAAGCCGGCGGTGCCAATGGCCAGACGCAGGGGACGGTCGGGCTGGATGAAAGGCTGCATCTCGGCTTCGGGCTGAGTGGTGGCTTGCTGTTGCTTGAAAACGGCCGAGTTGCGCGTGACGTCCTTGATGTAGCGGGGGATCTTGACGGCTCCCTCGCGCTCGGCAAACTCGTAGTCGCTGCCGGTTTCGTTGACCGAGTAGTCGAACAACTTGCGGAACACCTCGGTAATGGTGGTGATGGAAGTCTCGGACCAGATGTCCTGAGTCGGGTCGAGATCGAGTGTTGCCAGGCGCTTGCCGGAGTATTCCTGCCTCAAAGAGCGGAGGAATCCAGCAGCGAGCGAGGCCAAAGGCTGATCGCACTCATCGGCGCCACCCTGCGTCAACCAAAGCAGGCCCTTGGCGCGAGTGCACATGTCCCTAATTCCACTGAACTGCGCCTTGCTCGGGTCCGCCAGGACGGGGTTCTTGGGATCATCCAGGAAGACGCAAACATCGTTTCCATCGACCGTGACCTCCTCGAGACTCTTCACCGTCGGCACCGAGCAAGTCAACAACCCAATTGACACCCTCAGCTTATCCAACCACACCTCGGGGATCTGGTTGCTCGCCGTGACAAAGGTAATATCAAAGTCAAACACGGGAGCACTAGCCGCAGCCGTCGAGCTCATGACGCTAAACGCATAAAGCTCATCATGCTCGACGTCCCTGATCTCCGCTTCGACACCGCGGAAGCCAGTACGATGCAAGACGCGATCCCACATGGGCACGGAAAGCGACGGGCTGAACTTGCGCTCCTCCTCCTTACTCAACCACCAGCCCGAGAGGAACCCAAACACAAACTGCACATCCATCTGGTCCTGGGTCGTCTCCATGATGAACAGCTTACCGCCGGGCTTGAGGAGCTTGCGCACATTCTGCATCGTGTTATCCATCGACTTGGTCGCGTGCAGAACCTGGCAAGCAATCACCACATCGTACGTTCCCTCCTCGAAGCCTTGCGACGCAGGATCCTGCTCGATGTTGAGCTTCTTGAAGCGCATCAGGTCCTTCCACGGCTGGAACTTTTCCTTGGCCGCCTCGAAGAAGCCCGACGACACATCGGTGAAGTCGTAGCTAGCAGCGCGGGGGCCCAGTCCGTCGTCGGCAGTGCCGATAGCATTGAGGACATGGGCCGTGGCACCGCCGGTACCGCCACCAATCTCAATCATCTTCGCGTGGGGGTTCTTGTGCGCGTAGTGGCGGACCATTTCGCCCAGCTTGGCGTTGGCGCGGCCCCATTTGAGGCCTTCGAGGTAGTAGCGGGACAGCAAGTTCTGCTCAAGCATCACTTCGAGGGCAGTGATCTCTCCCCTCAGGATGGGAACAATCTGCGGACCAAGACGGTACACCATCTCGCCGTTGGTGCTGCTCATCTTGACCTTCTCCAGCAGGATAGCCTTCTCGTTCAGCGTGGCGTTGGCCCATTTGCTGCTGTCAGGCCCCAGCTCGTTGGCGCGCGCCAAGTCGGCCTGTAGACGCATCCAGATGTAGAACTTCTTGTGGTACCACTCCAGCTTCTTGATGTCCTCGGGGGTGAGGTCGCGGAGGGCGTCGTAGATGTAGTACATGCACGCCTTGCGGAGGTCCATGAGGATCTCGGCCTCCTCGGGCGTGATTTGGCTGCCGAGCTGCTTCTTGAGGAAGGCGTCCTTGAGGAAGGTCACGTCGGGCGCCCAGTGGGTAGTGGTGAACTTGTCGGCTTCCCAGGGCTCGTCGGCGGCAGTGGGGGCGTTGCCGATGGATTGGCAGACAAAGCCGTCGATGGAAATGACAGGCACGGGAGCCTCGGCAGTATGATCGACGACGCGGAGAGCGGTCTTGGTGGACTGGTCGTCGGCGTGGTCGAGGTTGGCGTAGGCCTTGAAGTCGTGACCGGCTTGCTTGCTGATGTCGTGGGAGATCCACAGCTTGCTGATGGAGCGAGGAACCTTGGGGGTCTGGTTCTTGCCACCAGCGCCAGGGGCAGCAGTGTAAGCGGCTTGGAAGACCGAGTCCAAAGTGGTGGGGTGGATGACATGGGCATGCTCGTGCTGCTTGGGCATGACCGATTTGGTGTCGGCCACGGTGAAGGTGGTGACGGACTGCTTGCTGCGGGCACGAATGCTCTTCATGTTGCGGAAGATGGGACCATGGTTGATACCACCCGAGCGCATGCCAGCCCAGATGTCATTGGGGTTGATACGGATGCGGTAGTGGGAGTCCTGGGTAGGCTGGTTGACAGCGTGCTTGGGAGCAGCGCCAAACTGAACGCAGATCAAGCCCTTGCAGTGATCAGTCCACTTGTTGTCCAAGGTGACGGACTGAACAGTAAACTCGGTCCATCCCTTGGTGGAAAGATCCCTCTCACTGCCGGGGCGAAGAGAAAGCTGCATCTCGATACCCTCGCTCGTCTCGGGAACAACAAGAGCGTTGAGGATGTCAACATCACGAAGCTGGTAACCAGCAATCTTCTTGTCTCCCGCTTGACGGGAAGCGAAGCGCTGCATGCCCTCAACAGCCATGGCAATGTATCCAGCAGCGGGATAGATCATGTTGCCCTGGACACAGTGGTCTTTGACCCAAGGAAGGTCACCGAGACGGACAATGTGACGCCAAGTAGGAGCACTAGGATCACAACCCAGCACCAGCGAGCCGAGCATATCGTGAGGAGCCTCTGAACGCTGTCTGAGGGCTCTGTTGAAGCGCGGCTCAATCCAGTGCTTGGTCGAGTGATTCCAGGGGTAGGCAGGCAAGTCAGTCAACACCTTGACACCCTCCATGCCAAAGGGGAAGTTGACAGCCTTGAGGTTGACAGGATACCCCTTGCGAACCAGGTCACCGACCAAATCCTGCATGGTATCAACCGCGCTCTTCTTGCGAATCAAGCAGCTGCCATACGGGATAGTAACCCCCTTGAACTGGGGCATACCCAAGATATCCTGAATAGGACCCGACAGCGCCGCGTGCGGACCGACCTCGATCACCATATCAACCGTCGGCTCTGTGGCACCCTCCTCGGCAAAGACCATGTTGCGGAACGCATCCACAAACCGGACACAGCCCGTCAACGAGCGCACCCAGTGTCCCGGGCTGCCGATCTCGTTGACCTTGTCCATCCGCTTGCCGGTGCAAGGAGAAGAGAAGATCATGTCCAGCTTGCTCTTGGCCGGCTTGACCTTCTTATCCATGGACGCATAGTACGCATCAGCGACAGCCTCCATGTGATGCGAATGCCAGGCCGCGTCAACTTTCAGCCTGCGAGCAAAGATGTTCTCCTGCTTCATAATCTGCTCCAGCTCAATCAAACCCTCGACATCACCAGACAAGGTGCTGCTCGTCGGCGAGTTCTCGCAGGCCACGACTACCTGGCCCTTAGTAACTCTAGGAAGATACTTCTCGGCCTCCTCCCGTCCCAACCCAACAGCCATCATGCCTCCCTTCCTCGCAAACTGGCGGTTGCCCTCGCTAGCCAAACCACCTCTGGCAAAGGCAATAGCCATGGCGCTCGCCAGGTCCAGCGCACCAGCGGCATAAGCAGCGGCAATCTCGCCCGACGAGTGGGAAGTCACAGCCGTCGGCTTGATGCCCCACGCCTTTAGCAGTTCGACCAAGGCAATCTGCACGGCGACGCACACGGGCGTGCTGTAATCGAGCTGGTTGACCTTGCTGGTCTCGGCATCGCGCGACAGCTCTTCGCACATGTTCCAAGTGGCACCGAGTTTCTTGAGCTGGACGTCGCAGTCGAGCAAGGCGGCCTTGAAGATGGGGTAGGCGTCGATGAGCTCCTTGCCCATGGCCCACCACTGGGCGCCTTGGCCGGTGAAGACGAAGCCGATGCGAGGGGGCTGGGCCGAGGCCTTGGCGGGCTTGACGCGGCCTGAGTCGAGGGTGCGGATGAGGGAGTCGAGAGAGGCGCCCGAGAAGGTGGCGGTCCAGGGAAAGAGGGTGCGGCGGTCGCAGAGGGTGTGGGCGAGGTTGGAGAGGAGGGCATTTTCGGCGATCTTGGAGTGGGTGTTGGACTTTTGCTGGTGGAGGTATGTCTTGAGGCTGGCGATCATGCGCTCCGTGGCTTTTTCGTCTTTGGCGGACAGGAGGAAGACCTTGGAGTGGTGGTCGCCATTGTGGCCGTTGAAGTTGTCGTCAATGACAATTCCGCTATCGGTGTGTTGGTGGTGGTGATGGTGGTGGTGGTGGTGGTGGCCAGCGCCGGCATTCGCCAGAGGTAGCGCCTTAGGCCGCTGAGTTGTGGCGAGGTAGCTGCTGTAGTCCTCCATAATAACGTGGGCATTCGACCCGCCATAGCCGAAATTGTTAATGCTGGCCCGCCTGATGCCGTCCTTGCCCACCCACTCCTCCAGCTCGGTGGGCACTTTGAGCTTCCACTCGTCCAAACTCAGCTTAGCATTCGGCTTCTCAAAGTTGACGCTCGGCGGGATCTGGCCCCTTTCCAGCGCCAACGCCACCTTGATGATGGCCGCCACGCCCGAAGCCGTCTCGGTGTGACCAATGTTGGTTTTGACGGACCCGATACGCAGCAGCGCGTCCTCGCCATTGCCCTTGCGCGAGTCCTTGAACACCCTAGCGATGGCCTTCACCTCGATTGGATCACCCGTCGGAGTACCCGTTCCGTGCGCCTCAAAGTACGTCGTCTGTCCCGGATCGAGACCTGCGCGCTCGTAGCAAGCGCGAATCAAGGCCTCCTGTGCCTCGCCGCTGGGCGTGGTGATGGTCTCGGTCTTGCCGTCTTGGTTGATGCCGCTGTCGCGGATAACGGCGCGGATGGGGTCGCCGTCGCGCAGAGCAGCGTCAAGGGGCTTGAGAATGACCGTTGCCGATCCCTCGCCGCGGCCGTAGCCGTTGGCGCGGCTGTCAAACGCCCAGGACCGGCCGTCCTTGGAGATGAGCGTCATGGAGGACATGGCGAGGAACATGTCGGGGTTGAACATGATGTTGGCGCCGCCCACAATGGACATGGTGGATTCGCCCGAGCGCAAGCTCTGGCAGGCCTGGTGAAGCGCTGTGAGGGTGGTGGAGCAGCCCGTGTCGACGGACATGCTGGGCCCGCGGAGGTCGAAGAAGTGGGAGAGACGGTTGGAGGCCATGGCGGCGCCGGTGCCCATGAGGAGGAAGCGGGGGAGTGTGTCGGGGTCACGGATCAAGCTCTCGTGGTAGTCCCGGAAGAAGGAGCCGGCGTATACCGAGGTATTGGAGCCAGCCACATCCTGAAGAGTGATACCCGCTGTTTGGCGTCAGTTTCTGCGTTCAGCTAACTTGGAAATGAATTATAAAAAAAGAAAAAACCTACCGCTCTCAAGGGCCTCGTATGTTGACTCGAGCTGCAGACGGAACTGGGGGTCCAAAGCAGCAGCAGTCTCGGCAGAAAGGTTAAAGAAGTGAGCATCAAACAGGCCAACATCCTCCTTCATAAAGTGGCCGCCTATTACGTTTGTCTATGGGGGCATGTCAGCTTGTCACTTTTTTTTTCTTTCATCAGGTAAACACGAGACATACACCATTAAGCTTCTCAAAGTTGGGATGGTGGAATCCATCGATATTGAACCGATCCTTGGGAATCTCCGACCACGCACTCTTTCCCTGAGCCAAAAGATCCCAGAGCTTGGACGGACTGTCGACATCGCCAGCGAATCGGCAGCTCATGCCAATAATGGCAATAGGCATGTTGGAATCCATTATGATATGTGTGTGCGGGGGGGGGGGGTATATAGTAATTAAGAGGGGGTCGTAAGAGTCGTATGGTTCGTTAAAACGATGATGATATGTCGTTTTCGTCAACGTCGTTAGTCTTTAAAAAAAAAACGACAAAGTATAAAATATGCCTACAACTAATGGGATGCTGATGAAAGGCACAAGGGTGGGGGAGGGAAAAGGGTATCTTGGATAGACGTATGTGATGGCAAAACTACGTGTCTCTCCCTGGGGAAGCGGGATGAGACAAGAGTTAAGTATTAGAGGTAGGTATGGTGTGTGTGTGTGTGTGTGTGTAAAATGTGTCTGTGGATGTCTCGGCCCCGGCTTGGTGAATCCGATCTCCTTCAAGGAAGCAACTCGCCGCCCCCTTGGTGATGCTTAACGATGCAACAGTGTATACCAAGCTGAAAAAGGATAAGATCATTAGAGAACCCATGGTTGACACCGTCATGGACTGTGTAGTCTGCCTCTAAGGCAGGTCCGCCAGCTTGCATAGTGCTGTCCACGACTTGCTATCCCGTTATCTGCTTGGCTTGGATGGGAATCCGATCGAGGCCGAGTGGGGGGATGAGGTTCTTTAGGGTGGCGTGGAGTGGACCGCCCATGATACTCCGCCGATTAGTCAAGGTACAAGATCATGGGGGACCCCAACTCCGGGGACCTTGAATCCAGGGCATCCAGGACGGTGCAGAAAGTCCACTCACCATAGCTCACGGTATCTGTACTTGGTGTACGTGTACTACGCGCTTCGGGATCTACACGTGTTCCTCGAGTTCGACAAGAACGAAGTCTTGGCCGCATTTTTCTGTGGGGAGGTTACGTTGCGTGCAAATGTTTTACACTACAGGGCGGATATTAGGTAGTGTATATGTGTGCGTGTTGCTTGCGTGAGACCTGCTTGCGTTGTATCCATCAATAGGTAGGTCTCCCTTGGTGCTTTGGTGTTGTGCATTCCCATCCCGTCACGAACCCGTCTCTCCAAGACCTTGTCTCGCACGGACCGTCAACTCGTGCGCATGCCGGATCGACGAACACGTCCTTGTAGTGTATGCGGCGGGTAGACAAGACAAGACGCCGTGGCATTTAGTTTTACAGTTTGGCATGCGGCGCCTAGTCGGATAATATTTTCTGGGCATTGTGCTAGTGTACTGACTTAAGTGTTTTCGGTAGCCTCAAGACATCGTTGGCGTTGTTTATTGGGACGGTCTGGGGAACCTTGTTTTACAGGGCGGTGAACGGGGTGGGACAGCTGAGAGCTCAGACCCTGGAAACAGTATAAGAAGAGGCCGGGCTGTCTTTGCCTTGGCAACAGCACAACGACTAACGAGTCGGTGTCGATATCACGTTCCCCATGTGGTCTCCATGTCTTGCGGTGGCAGGCAGGTGATGATTGATGGCTGACGAGAGGAGAGATGCCCTGTCTTTCAACTCCAACTCCATCTCCAACTCCAACTCCAGACCCCGACAGTCGGAGTGAAAGCGGCTCTTTTGCTGGGCAGCTGAGTTGTTCGTGGTACAAACAAGATACTCGACGTTGCATCCCGAATGCTTGGTCCGAATGCTCGGGTTCCGTACACCGTAACATTCACATGACATCCATGTCCATTTTTTTTTGCGGAGCTTATACCAATAGACGGCACAAACAAGTCGTTTAGTCACCAGCAAACAGGGGGTTTATACTGTATCGGCGGTACTCCTATCTTGAGATCCGAACTGGCCAACGATCGAGGTCGCCGACGACATGGTCTGAATTGATCACATACAACTGACCGATCCAAGCTGACCTTGACCATGCTGTCCCTATCATCACCTACTTCAATCTTGGATAAGGTACGCCCGGGCAGGGTCCAGCACTCCAAATACCGAATGGAAGGCTGGGAAATATGCAAAATAGTGATTCCAGTGCTCGGATAGACGGGAATAAAATTTAAAAGAGAAAAAAAAAGGGGGTAATGTAAAATCGGGGAAAGAGAAAAGAACCGAGACTGGAAAACGGGTAAACCGGCTGGGGAGACCGGCGCCGAAAGGACGGGGCGTTGGAGGCTGGAGCGGGCTTTTTCGGCGGCCGAGGCAAGAAAGCGGGAGTGGGGCCCTCTGCCGTGGAACGGGACCAGTATCAATAAGTGGGGTCTTGAGTCCCGTCCGACTCAAAGAAACTCCGGCGGTCGGTGAAGGTGGACAGAAGAGCTGGAAAAAAGTGTGGAAGAAGAACTGAAGCTTGAGGCCCGCCGGTGAGGCCGGGACAATCCAGCCATGGCAAGCGTGCAAACAAACAAAGCAAGAAATCCCAACCACCTCCTCATCAATTGGCCAATTACGGGCAGGGGCATGCATACGCACCTTGGTTATCTAATCTTCGGTGCGCAAAAGGGAAGGCGAAAGAAGGAGTTCGTGACTGCCCGTTGACTTGGTTGCTTTGTATGAGGACGACGACAAAAGAGACTACTAACCTCTACCAGAACCACCAAGCTCTCTCTCACCTTGTTCAACTCAAGTTCAAGTCTCCTTCCCACACTGCACAGCATGTTCAACGACCACACCTTGGAGTCGCACGGATGCACGGTTCCAACTGAGGGATCTGCAAACCCCAAGATTGGCACTCCACTTTTCCAGCCAGCCTAGAGCCCAAAAGAGAAAAGCGTAGAATGGTCAAGGCAGGAACCGTGAGAACCAATGATACCTCGGTGGAGTGAGCTTATGCAGATCCCGCGGATCAAGCTAAAGTGCGGGTACCTGTGAGTGGAGCATTGACAGGAAGTGCCAGAGAGTCCCGGCCATTCTCCGATGCGGGGGCGCAAAAGGGACGAACCGGCCGAGAATGGATGGAAAAGGGGTGCAGACTGCAGTGGTCAACTGCCCGGTGAACATATCGAGTTCCCGTTCGTTGTCTCATTCCTTCCTTCCTTCCCGGCTCCCATCAACCAGGCATCTCCTCGTTCAGTTCAGCTGGAGGCGCCTTCTCTCTCTCGAAGCATGATGCCTGTATCCGTCTCAATTTGCCTAGTCCGCGCTGGCAGGAAGTCGGACCCGAGAGCGACTTCCCGGCACATCGATGGTGGAGGTTCCCTTTCCCGTCCTTTCCAGTGATGGACAAGAAATTCCCCGAGAAACAACACGAAAAAAAAAGGACGATCACAGCAAGAAAAAAAAAAAAAAAAGACAGGAACAAAAAGGGAAGAACAAGCGACTCGCCAAACTTCAGCTTCAAACATCGGCTACCGCTCCCCCCCCTTATATACACACTGCCTCCTACTTAAGGGGTCTCGGATAAGCCATTTCAACTCAAGCTTTGTTCACCTTTTGACCCTCGCTCGCTCTCGCTTGTGCAAAATGGCGGCGGTTCATAAGAAAGATGAGGAGACTCGGACCATCAAATCCCTTTTGTCTCCCGGAAGTTCTCTCCGCCACCTACATGCTAGCGAGGTGTTAGTGTAATGACGCTTTGTCTCTCGAATTGACCTTCCACCGGGAATGAGGTCCGGTCCGGTCTCCAGCAAGCACTTCATCTCTCATCTTCTGTCGCTGTTTTGGACTCAAACTCGGCCCGTCCCCAAGTCTCATCTAAACTCGGGACAATTGAGGTCAATCAGGTCGTTCATTATATCGTCGCAATCGCACATCGGACATCAGGCAACGGATGAACACCCCCAAATCGAGTCGGGTCCATCCGAGATAGACGGGGTCATGGACAGGGGAGGAGGCAAACACACTGGAAACCCCCTGGAATGCGGCGCCGCTATTTGAGTTTCTCAATGACCTCGTGTCAGCTCAGCTCTTTGATGGTTTGACCGTTAAACTTGACAGTCACGTCACGCACACACACACATACACACACACACACACACACACACACAAAAATCTTTTCGTTGCTTTTTGCTTGACAATTATAACCTGATTCTGTCCTCAGAAGGAAAAGAGGACGCAGCTCATCATGTTACTTTGCTTTTCTCTAACGTATGCAAAAAAAGAAACACCAAAAATGACGTCTTCCCTATCAAACTCATCGTCGATAACAGTCCCTTTCTAGAGATGTTCGGCAGTTCAATCTACGTAGTGCGTAGCTTATCAACTGTGTCCTCGGCATGAACTAATGACAGAAAAAAAAAGAAATTAGCATTTGAACCCCCAAATACCAGCTGGCGCCAAGATGGTCTCATCCGGATACGCCAACTTGAGTCTTTGCTCTCAAAATACTCTGTCGGGGACCGGAGCGAAGCACTGGAAGCAACTAGTCATGTCGTAGATTTGTCGATCCAAGTGGAAATCCGGGGCATTAGTTTGACCAGGAACGGACATTGGGCCGGATGATGCCTTTTTGGGTCTCTGATGTCTCTTGTTTGTTGCCTTTAATATCACTTACACTACTGCATCTACCGTCTGGTCCAGCCGAACAGCCAGTAGCTCGACGTTGGGACCCCATTGCCCAGGCGCGCATAATAAGCTGGACGGGCCCTTGGCATCTGGAGGATGGATGCTGGATGCAGCCCTGTCCCTGTCGATCTCTGGCCCGTCGACAACCTCAACAAAACAAAAGATATGTCCAATGCCATGTTTGTCCCGAGTCGGAGTATCTCCTTCTCCTTCTTTTCTCTCCGAGTTTCTCAGCAACAAACAAAAGGCCTTGGAAACACCGACGGTCACATCTAGACAAGGACAGCCACACCACATCATGTCACCCATCACCACCACTCCACTCTCTCCGCCCCCCAGGCCGTCATCATCCCGCAGCGTCGCCAACAGCATCAGCGGCAGCACCTTGTGCGACTATCCCATCACGACCGGCGGCAACATTAGTGCGTTTGGATCGAGGAATGGGAACTGGCCCGCCCTGCTACTAGGCGATCTTCACTTCACCGCCGCCGAAACGAACCTTGTTGTGGATGCGCAGGCTACCTCGCATAGTAGCTCCGCCAACGCCAACGGCGGTGCCACTTCTTATCCTTCCACCTACACCGAGCGGGGTTATAGTGACCGTGACCGCGTCGATCGTCTCAATAACTACTTCCGGCCTTTAACCTCGACCGACACCAACGTCAGCAACGGCACCACCAGCACCAGCAGCATCAACTATTCCAACAACTCATACAGTAACCCAGGCACCTTTGCCACAACCCGCACCCGAAGCCAGACCTCTACCAGCTCGGCATCCACCGGCCGCTCCAGAGCCAGCACTAACCGCCGTTACCTGGCCGGCGGCACTAACTCCAACTCCAGCTCCAGCAACCAGGCCTCCTCCTCCTCCTCCGTCAACTCCCCGTCGACCGGTCAGAATCACAACCAAAACAGCCACCCCCGGGGCATCTCCCCTAACGGCCTCGGCATCGGCCGCTACGGTCCCGGCACCGCTGCTCACAACGTCCCTGCCGCCTCTACCACCACCACCTGCACCTCGTCCCCCATCTCTCGCACCTCCTCCCCCACCACCCAGCGCAGCGGCGGAGGCCACAAGCGGCAACACAGCATGGTTACCCACGAGCAGATCCAGACCTCCAACGCGCAGATCGTCTCGTCCTTGCCGTCCGGGTTAGTAGCCGTGTTTGTGGGCGCCACCAGGGGTATCGGCGAAGCGACTTTGAAGCAGTTTGTACGACACGCGGTAGCGCCGAGAGTGTACTTTTTGGGGAGAGATAGGACGAATGGAGAGCGGGTGGGCGCGGAACTGGCGAATCTCAATCCGGAGGGAGAGTATCATTTTCGAAGCGCGGATGTGAGCCTATTGGCGAACGTGGATGAGGTGTGTAGGGAGATCAAGTGTAAAGAGAGGGTGATCAACTTGCTGTTTATGAGTTGTGGGACAACAATTATGGGGATAGGTACGTTTTTCCCTGGCACATTTCGAGGGGAGGTGAATGGGGAAGAGGATGTCTGTGGAATGGCAATGGAGAGGAATGAAGCACCTCATGCCCGCACCCTCCCGTGTCCCAATGTTCAACAAACCACACATGACTAACACCCCCGCCACATACAGACACCAAAGAATCCCTCCACTACCCCGCCGCCGTCTCATTCTATGCCCGCATCCGCTTCATTGTCAACCTTCTCCCCGAACTCCAAAAAGCGACGTCCCTCCGGCGCGTCGTCTCCGTTCTCAACGGCACCAAAGAAGGGCACATCGACACGGGCGACTTCCAGTTCCGGCGCCTCGCCATGATGCAAGCCCGCGGGCACTCGGCCTCCATGATGACTCTGGCGTTCGAGTCCCTGGCACTCGAAGCCCCCGACGTCTCATTCGTCCATACCTTTCCCGGACTTGTGAGGACGAAATTGGGACAGGACACCAACCGGGCGGCCATCACAGTTCTGAGGGGAGTGTTCAAGGTGATCGGACCGCTGTGTACGATTCCCGTGGCGGAGGCGGGCGGGAGGCAGTTGTTTATGGCTACGTCTGCGAAATTTCCGGCGAGAGAGGGAAGGGATATTGAGGAGACGAGTGGGGTTGGCCTTGGATTGGGACTGGTAGGCGGGACCAATGGCAACAGCAGCAACAGCAATGGCAGCGGCAGCAACAGACCATCCATCGAAATCCGCAACACCCAATCTGGCTCTGTGGTTTCTGCCGCAGGCGGCAGCACCGCAACCGACAACAAAAAGGGCCATCGAAGAAAGGACTCGCACTCGTCGCACTCTACCAGCTCATCCTCAATGTCGATGAACCTGAGAGTGGCCAGGGGAACAGATGGCAAGGAAGGCAGTGGGGTTTACTCGGTTAGTAACGATGGCGAAGGGTTGAGCGCCAAGACGGAGGAGGCGTTGAGGGTGATGAGGGAGGAGCAGGATATGGTGAGGAAGGTGTGGTTGCATGTTGAGGACGAGTTTGTGAGGATCACGGGATGTGCTTTTGTGGCATAAAGTAGAGGTGTATGGAAGGGAAAGTGTGTACTTTCTCTTTTTTAATGACTTGGTTCCTTTTCATGGCGTTTTCGGGTATGTCTTCTCCGTTTTCGTTTGGTTGGAATCGATCTCTCCCTGCGTCCCCAATCTTCTTGCGACGCAGACTGGGGACGGGGATTTTTCAAGTTTGGATACCACAGGTGCTGGCTGAGATGCCGGCACCAACAGCAGAATGTTTGTCCTTTATCGCTTATCTAATGTAGACATGAACAACCTCTCTCCTCATGTACCACGTGCCCGTTGAGGCTCGAATTCTACCTATTACTCGGCCCATCCCGGATGGGTTCAACTATGAGGAGACAGATTGAAATACGATAATTTAATATGTGGAAGGTGCGTTTACGGTTGTAATATCTTACGCTTTAGAAGGAACAAGTGGTATCACAGCCATGGAAAGGAAGAAGGTATGGAAAACGTTTGGAATTTCCAGCATACAGGAAGTAGTCATCCCTCGGATGACCAAGTTCTTCGGATAACTATTGCATGTCGCCTCAAACACGTGTGTAGACTAGTATTCAGGGATGTCCTGGTGCCCATCCTCCTCTTACTCTTTTCTTTCCTTCGTCAATTCAGTCATCAGTTTCTAACCACCGTGCTTACCCAGAACTCACATTTCAACAGTATCACAGCCAAAATTATGTTAAAAACAACTGCCCAGGACACTGTATGATCATGGCAAAGGACCACCATTTTTTCCATGATTTTTTTCTCTTTTGTGTGTGTGCAACGATGTCTTGGTGCTTCGTGTTTCTTCAACAAGGCCTTTCAACGATTTGAACCACATCACTTCTTTGTTTCTCCCTTTATCTATATCCCAGCTGGAGTCAATCACAACAAGAATTACTATTATTTGATAGCAACCAAGGGCTGAAAAACTCCACACACTGCTTCTCGATATCCCTTCCCACTCTTCATTTCCGCTTTCTTCAACTACGTCGTTGAGCTGTGGCTCTCCGAAATATTGTCGCTAAACACAGGCCCCTTTCCCATAGCCGTTCTATCTCCACCAGCAACCATCTCGGCGCCGCGATGGCCCAGGGGTATCAAGGAGCCTCCCGACTTTCCGAAAACACGGAGATACCAAGATATTACCGACAAGATCACTCCAGAAGCCATCTACCAAATCTTCCGCTCGCTTCTCAGTAAGTTGCTGGAGTGCTCTTGTACAATCTGTCGTTGGTCCCCTGCTCCTCGTGCTATATGTGTCTAATCAGGGGCGCATCCGGGGCTAACCGGGGCTCGGCAGAATGTAACTGCAACGCCGTTGTACCCGACTATGACCAAATCAGGGAACTGACAAGGCCGTTGGCCAGTGGAAACCCGCCTTCAGTCAACGCCTGTTGCCTCTTGCAGGCAGGACCCATTCGGGGCTAGCATCTCCTGCAGCTCAAAGCAGTAAGGGTTCAATGGCTTGCATAAAGAATTCATCTCCATCAATTTTGGCGATGCTATTTCAAGAGATGGAAGATGCAGAAGTCGTTGAAAAAGTTTAATGGTCAATCTGGGAGTTGGGAAGGGGGAATTTGGAATTAAGCTGTTTATATGTAGATATTTCGTTTTTCTTAACAGACTGCCTGCCGCCATCTCCCCTCTTTTTAGCCGGCGGATTGCTCATCATGGCACTTTAACTTGGTCGTTCAGCGCACATCTTTTTCCCGTTTCGCCCACCACCCCACACCAACGCGCTTCTTCCTCCAAACAATTCACTAGACAACACCATACACACTACACTACACTACACTACAATTCTCACAACAAACCCTCTCTCGTCCAGCAAACGAAACTCTATCATAAACAAAGATATTGCCACCACCACAAGCACAACTCCCGTCGGCACTTGTTTGACCTCGCTCATTGGTGGTCTCACAACGTAACGCTACCCTTTTTCCCACCCTTGTCCTTACTTCACACAACGTGTTCAGGGTCCAGCCAAGGGTAAGTGACTACACCACACTAGGTAGACCCCGTTAGTACCTGGCAACTAACCTCCATCAGTGCTAGCCCCTCACTGTCTGCTCACCCTCGCGATCTGCCAAGACAGCGGATCTAAGACCGCCGACGACGCCACTGGCGGTTTGTTATTTGGCATCTCGGCTTTCTCTCATTCCAACGCGTCGCCTAGGCCCCGCGGTCCGGAGTTCTCTCCGATCCTCTACGTCATTTTGCTCTTTTCCTTCTTATTTTCCTTTAAGCGACACTGTTTGTCGCTCACTGGCACCGGCTATCGTTCGACAAACTCACCTGGTCAGTTGACGGCGCCGTCACATCAACCAACCAACCAACCAACCAACCTTTGTGCGCAACCTCGAATCTGAACGCTGTCTACTCAAGTAGTAGAGTACTACATACCTGTACCGCCACTTCACTTCTTTGTCACTCGTTTTCGACCGGAGCCGTTGACCATGCCTACCATATCGGCACTGCCGACAGAGCTCGTCATCTTCGTGCTCGATAACCTCGACCGCTTGAGGGACCTGGCTGCACTTGCCAGGATCAACCGAAGGCTATACGATGTGGTGAACCCTATCCTTTACAAGCGCGCAGTATCGCGCGACTTTCCCTACCCCCTCGAGTGGGCAGCACACAACGGCGTGGTCGGGACCCTGTTAAAGGCCCTTGACTCTGGTGCAGATCCCAACCACGAGTTCCACCAATGCACATCATCCAGGGAGTGGAGAAAGGCTCTTACTCAACGAGGCCAGCTTCACCCGGGCTGGGATGCCGCAAGTGTCTGCGATTCTAGAAGCACTTTGCTGGCCGGTAGCAACGACAGCTCCTACGGTGTTCAAAGTACGGCATATGACGACGATGAATCCATGTCGGATTACACGGATGACGGCGACAACTATACCGACCATGAACCCATGTTCTATTCGCCTACCCTCGATGGTGACGGCCGTAGCGTTGGTCGCAGCGACGATTCTGATGGTTCGGGAAGATGGACCCAAACCAAGTTCGGCCGCAGGTACACTGCCCTCCATCTCGCCGCTAGAGCGGGCCACATCGGAGCCATCAGCACTCTGCTCGAACGCGGTGCCCGGATGGACGTAGTGGCCAAACAGTTCTGTTCTTGCTGGCGAGAATATGGCATCTTGACTTCGATGGAAGGCACCGCCTCAATCGATGGACTCTACATTCCGGGCTGGACGCCTCTCCATGTCGCCATCTGTCATGGCCACGAACAGGCTGCGATCAAACTTTTGGCCAGTGGAGCACCGATCTACATGGAGCTTTTTCCCCCGTGGGAGAATTCGGGCTTTCTCGAGTATCCTGCTACGGCCCTCCACCATGCTGCCGCCATGGGCCTTGTTCATGTCATTCGATATCTGGTGGACGTTGGACTGCAGACAGACATCGATGTGCGCGACAATAAGACCCTTACTCCCTTTTACTACGCCTACGCATATCGCCGCTGGGACTCTACCGTGCCGCTGCTGCTCAATCTCGGCGCCAACATCAACGTCGATATTGACATATTCCTGCCCTACTCAACCATCTCACCACTGGGTGAGGCTTGCCGCGTCGGAAACTACGAGGATGCAGACAGGTTGATCGAGCTCGGCGCCGACGTCAACCGTGGCTACATTGCAACCAATATCGGCAATGGCTTGACCCCCCTCCACATGTGCGCTATGCCTCCGGCCAAAGGCCATCGCTTTGCTATGCTTTCCGCAGGAGGAGCCAACATTTCAGAAGAGCCGGAAACGCGCGAACAGGAATACACAAAAGCAGTGAAGCATGGCTTGGATCGGATGCGAACGATCGAGAAACTAGTGGCTCACGGAGCAGCCCTGGAGACAAGAGATTGCCCAGGCGACACACCGCTCATCGCGGCAGTCCAGCACTTCAACGTGCCGGCCATCAAGGCCCTGATCAAAGCAGGCGCCGACATCCACGCCACCAACTCTCGTGGCCGAAATGTCCTCATGCAAGCCATCGATGGCCCTCCCTTGCCCATCTCCTCCATGTCACCACGTGTGAACATCAATACCCTCAGCCGCGTCCTCCGCGAGCTTCTCAATAACGGCGCCAGGATCGACCACAGAGACAACCAAGGCAACAATCTCCTGCACGTAATCTGCAAATGCTCCCAAGAGCGGCTCACCCCCGACCTCCAGTGCGACATCCTCCGTCTCGTCCTCAACATCCCCGGCGCCGCAGCCCTCATGCAGGCCCGAGAAGACTCGCACGAGTCTCTCACCCCGCTCATGGTGGCCTTTATGGAAGGCCGACTCATGTGCTGCGACGTCCTCGTCCGCCGCGGATGCTGGGGTGGGGACAGTAACCCCCAGCGGAAGGAAGACCTGGCGTGGATGGCCAACCGGTGCTATCTCCGCAACAACAACCCCGACCAGCACCTAATGCATTTCCTCCTGGACCTGGACGTGGACGGATACCTGGCTACAGACCCGCAGTTTGCCGCCTATATCCTGCATGACCTTGAGCGGGGCTGGGTTCGTCACTCGGGAGACGATCTGTTTGATCCCCAGCGCCCTGTGACCTTCCTGGGCGAGCGGCTGTATAATCGCTCTATTCTGCTGCGGGGGCTGGACGAGTTGGATGAGGATGTCTTGGGGAAACCCAAGGAGGACGTGAAGGCGTGGTGCGCCAGCGCGAGTACCAAGCAGATGGGTCTGTGTACTAGTAATAATAGTATTATGGATGATCCGTTTGGATGGGCGCGGCCGCTGCCTGATCCTAGTTGGTAGTGATTATTTGCTCTCTCTCTTTCTTTCTTATTTTTTTCTTTTTTTTTTTCTCTTTTGATTGCTGAGACGATACACATTTCCTATTGTACAATTCACTTTTCCTTTTTCCCATTTTCGGTTCTCTTTTTTTTTTCAATTTCGGTTATGTATAATCCGCGCGGCGTTCAGGACGGCACTGGCGGCGTTACGTGGCGCGTTAAAGGTGCATTAGTTGATGTTTGCGGGATATAGAGGTAAGAGTACCTAGACGGGAGGGATGGATGCTAGGATGGGAGGGGATTGGAGGTACGGAAGATATTAGGGCGGGATGGTTAGATAGAGGTACTTGGGTAGAGAGAGGTAAGTCACCGAGAGTCGTAGAGGTAGTGCGAGAATTCAAACACCTACCTACGCTTTGACCTCTACCTTACTTACTTCGCGGATCTCCGTATGCGACATTAAATAGTAATCACTTGCACTCACATTTCTCTCCCCTTCCTCCTGTACCTCTACTTTCTCCCACACGCGACATAGATCAGAGTCACAACACACTACCTCTACGCTTTTACCTACACATTGCGCTACGCCTTACCTATCTCCTTTTATTCCCAAGACTAGGTAGGTAGGTAGGTGTGCTTCCAGCTTTTCGAAACCCGGGAACCTGTGCGTAGCGATTTCTTTTCTTTTCTTTCAGTCGAACACCGGGCAATTTTTGCGCTTCACAAACCATTCGTCACTGACTACCTAACCAAGTTCACTCAAGTGAGAACACTTACGTTAGGACCTAGAGGTAATTTGTTTTCCTTTGTTGAGGTTCTCTTCCATTCAATCCTTATGTGCCGAATCCGGCCTTTGATGTAAAGAAACCTAACCCTACCTTCTAGGTATCGTATGTCACAAGCGCCAGGCAGCCCCTTTAGAATGGCGGACCAATTGACTGGTGCTCGCCGCACAATATAGACAAGCGGAAGAGAAGGGAGTTACTGCCCGCGATGACATCGATTTTGATTTCACCAAATGCGTTCAGAGAAACTTCCTGGCTAGGTACCGTCAGTAGTCATGACCACGAGCTAGGTACTAGACGCGGTAAACACCTACCTACATCAAAGGACATGACACCGCGTCACGAAGCGTGTGAGCCTGTAGTGCGTGGCGGCACACTACCTACCTAGTTGAGGTAAAGAGGTAGGTACCTCTGGCAACCGAAGTCTTGCAAGGAAGTCTTGCAAGCCTCGCTGCCGGGTATATAACACAAGGCCTGGCACCTTGCTTAACGGAGTTAAAGTGGAAGTGCCCCTGTGCGAGTGCGAGTGTGGTTGCGAGGGTTCCTTTCTTTCGTTGTAGTCGCGCAGTCGGTTCTTGTTTCGATGGGGAGGGCAGAAGGGTTATTAACGTTGTTGCTTCGTTCCAATCCATAGGTACCTAGGTATGTTGGAGGTATGTATGCTTTGAAGAGCGCACGTGTGGCCTTGGGGAGAGAGCGTGTGGCTTGGGTCATGGTGATCGTAATAGTAGGTAAAAAGTGAGCTCGGTAATAGAGGCAGTTCAAAGAACAACACTACCTAGAAAAAGGCGACGACGTGATGGCTTAGCGCGGGTAGGTAGTAAGCAACTTCACGGACTAGGAACATTGCAACCGACGCGGGAGACTTCCAGATTACCAAGTCCACCTGTCCACCCGTCCACCCGTCCACCCCCCGTCTCGGTGTACCAGCCGCACGCGCAAGGCAACAAGCACAAGGCGAGCAAGCAGGCACGTACCCCCTCCAGTAGGTACCCCCAGTGCCCAG